CTCTTACCAGCCTCTTGCTACCTTTACTGCTGAGCCGGGCTCGGGTCTCTACACTCTTCACACTGGCCCGCGTGCGCCGCAGCAGCAGCCGCAGCAGCAGCAGCAGCCGCAGCCGCAGCAGCAGCAGCAGCACCAGCGGCCGCACCAGCAGCCCCCCCTACTGCCAGTGCCCCCGGTTCCCCCCCCCGTTCGGGTCCCCGTGTCTCACCAGGTTGCTTCGTCCCCCCAGGTGTCTGTGTCGTGTCAGGCTCCTACGTCTGTTCCAGTCGCTGCGTCGTGCTCCTGCCGGTCGCTTGCCCACCCCACCGTTCTGTGGCACCACCGGATGGGGCACCCGTCCCTTCCTCGTCTGCGCGCTATGTCTAGTCAGCGTCTTGTCCTAGGCCTCCCACGTGTCTTGCCGTCGCTGCCGCCTTCGCTTGCGCCGCCGTGTCGTCCCTGCGTCGAGGGTAGGCTGCGCGCCACCCCTCACTCCTCCTCCCTTCGTCCGGCCACCGAGCCTTTTGAGACGCTTCACTTGGACGTCTGGGGCCCCGCCCCTCGTCTAGGCCCTGAGCGTGAGCGTTACTTTCTGGTGGTCGTTGACGACTTCTCCCGCTACACCACAGTGTTCCCACTGGCGAAGAAGTCTGAGGTGACTTCTACGCTGATCAGGTGGTTGCTCACCACCGAGGACACTCGTGGTCGTCGTGTCAGCTGTCTCCACTCCGACCGTGGGGGTGAGTTTCGCTCCGGCATTCTCGCTGGATTCTGTCGCGAGCAGGGCATTCGTCAGTCCTGGACGCTTCCAGAGTCCCCACAGCAGAATGGGGTTGCTGAGCGCCGCATAGGCCTGGTCATGGAGATCGCCCGCACCTCCCTGACTCACGCCTGTGCCCCCCATTTTCTGTGGCCCTACGCGGTCAGGTACGCCGCGCACCAGCTGAACCTCTGGCCACGTGTCTCTCGACCAGAGGTTTCACCGACCAGTCTTTGGACAGGGTCCCCTGGTGTTGCGTCGCGGTTTCGTGTCTGGGGGTGCTTGGCTCTTGTCCGCGACACCTCCGCGGACAAGCTCTCGCCTCGTGCCGTCCCCTGTGTCTTCCTTGGTTTCCCTGAGGACTCCTCTGACTTCACCTTTTACCACCCTCCCTCTCACCGGTTCTTTGACTCCCGTGACGTCCGTTTCGAGGAGTCCACTCCGTACTACGTCAGGTACCCCAGTCGAGGTCTCCCGGTTCCTCCTCCCCCCCTCTTCCTGACTGCCGCTCCCCCTCCTGCTCCCCCGGTACAGCCTCCCTCCCCTGGCCCAGCCCCGTCAGGTGTGTCCCAGGCTACCCCTCCTCCTTCGGTAGCCCCTCCGGTACAGCCTCCCTCCCCACAGTCCTCCTCGCAGCGTGCCGCTGGTGCTAGCTCTCGAGAGGTTGGTGCTGCGCCTGTTCCTGTACCGGTTTCTGGTTCTGGGGGTGCTGGAGTTGGAGCTGGTGTTGGAGCTGGAGGTGGAGCTGGAGTAGGCACAGGAGTTTCTGGTTCTGGGGGTGCTGGAGTTGGAGCTGGAGTTTCTGGTTCTGGAGTTGGAGCTGACCCGGTGGGTGCAGAGGACTCTTGTCGTCCGGGAGCCGGTGCTGGCCGCGCGGACTCTGGGGGTGCTCCCTCTGGGGGTGAGGGTGCGCCTGCTTCGGGTTCTGGTGCGCCTGGGTCTGGAGCTGGTGTTAGTGCTGCCTCTGGGGGTGGTGCGCCTGGTTCTTCGGGGGTTGACTCTGGAGCTGCCGCTGCTTCGGACACTACTCGGCCCCCCTACCCCTACCCGACTAGGCACCAGGCTCGTGTTCGCCGTGCGCGTGACGAGCAGCTGGAGTTGGAGAGAGAGGAGAGGGAGTTACAGCGGCTGGCGGAGCAGCAACAGCAGCTGGACCCGCAGGAGCAGCAGTCCCAGCAGCAGCCGCGTCCGCAGCAGCAGCAGTCGCAGCAGCAGCAGCAGCAGCCACTTCCTCGTCCTGTCTCGGGTCTTCGGGCCCTTGGTCTCCCCTCCCCTTCTCCTCCCTCCTCCGCCTCTCCTCCTGTCTACGGTCCCACGTTTCCTCCGCCTGACTCCTCCCCCGCTGTTTTCTCTAGTTCTCCGCCTTTGTCCTCTCCTCCTCCGTCTCGTTCTTGGGCTACTCGTCGCTCCCCTCGTGCTCGTCCCTCGTCTCCTGTTCCCTTCACTGACCTTCGTACTGCCTTACTTTGTTCCAGTCCACCTCGTCCGTCTCAGTCTGTGCTCCCGTCTCCTCCTGAGTCGGCCCTCACCGTGTCGCTCCCTGCTCCTGTCACTGACTACTACCGCACGTACCGTCCTGTTCTCTCTCGTGTTCTCGCCTCTCTTGTTACTCACCCTCGTGCCTCTGTGTCCTCTGTGTCTGCTCTTACTGCCGCGGTTACTGACTTTGCCGCTACCCGCCGCCTTGACTACGCCACCACGCTTGTGGCTGCTCCTCCTACCAGTCCTCTGGCCGTCGGGGGTGTGTCTGCCCTTGGCTGTGACGCCCTAGAGGACAGGCAGTTTGAGCTAGAGTTCCTGGCGGCCGCTTCCCCTCATCTCTGTGCCATGCTCCTCGCCCCTGAGGGTGACCCCGACGCCCTTGACATTCCGACTCCTCGCACTTACGCTGAGGCAGTGTCAGGGCCTTGGCCTCTCAGTGGAGAGCTGCCATGGACGCAGAGATGGCCTCCTACAGATCCACAGGCACCTACGTCGATGAGGTTCCCCCCCCTGGGGCGAACGTAGTCGACGGCATGTGGATCTACAGGGTGAAGCGGCCACCGGGATCTCCCCCGGTCTTCAAGGCGCGCTACGTGGCTAGAGGTTTCAGTCAGCGCGAGGGAGTTGACTTCTTTCAGACCTTCGCACCTACCCCGAAGATGACCACTCTTCGGGTGTTACTACACGTAGCAGCACAGAGAGACTACGAGTTACACTCTCTCGACTTCTCCACTGCTTTCCTTCAGGGCAGCCTACACGAGGAGGTCTGGTTGCGTTGTCCCTCGGCCTTCACTGGCACTTTCCCTCTTGGGACCCAGTGGAGGCTGAGGCGACCTGTTTACGGTCTTCGCCAGGCCCCTCGCGAGTGGCACGACACTCTGCGTTCTACCCTCTCTGACCTTGGGTTCCAGCCGTCTTCTGCCGACCCGTCGCTGTTCGTTCGTCGTGGCTCCACACCGTTCTTTGTTCTGGTCTACGTCGACGACCTCGTTTTCGCCACTCCGGACAGGGTTGCTTTGGCAGACGTGAAGTCCGAACTGCAGAAGAGACACACGTGCACTGATCTTGGTGAGCTGCGCCACTACCTTGGCCTGCAGATCACTAGGGACAGAGCCGCTCGCACCATTACACTCTCACAGTCACACATGGTGCAGCAGGTCCTTCAGCGGTTCGGGCTTCAGCACTCCACCGTACAGCGCACACCTCTCGCTGTTGACCACAGACTCACTGGTCCCTTTCCTGACGAGCCGTTTGAGCCTAGTGGTCCCTACGCAGAGCTTGTGGGTTGCCTCATGTACCTGATGACTTGTACTCGCCCGGACCTCGCCTTCCCTCTCAGCATCCTTGCGCGCTTTGTTGCGCCAGGGAGACACCGTCCTGTTCACTGGACGGCAGCTGTGAGGGTGGCGAAGTACCTAGCGACTACATCAGGCGTGGGGCTAGTTCTTGGAGGGCAGCAGTCTGTCGTACTCACTGGTCACTGTGACTCCTCTTACGCTGACGACGCTGAGACTCACAGGTCTACTCAGGGGTACTGTTTCAGTCTGGGTTCTGGAGCTGTTTCCTGGCGTTCCACGCGCTCCTCTTCTGTCTCGACCTCTACAGCTGAGGCTGAGATTTACGCTGGTGCCATGGCGGCACAGGAGTTGCGGTGGTTGACCTTCTTGCTCGCCGACCTTGGTGAGCGGCCGAGCTCTGCACCGACCTTGTTTACTGACAACAAGGCGTCGATCCTCCTCTGTCGTGAGCCGCGACTGGAGAGCAGAGTGAAGCACATTCACGTCAGGTACTTTCTTCTGCGAGAGTTGCAGAGACGTGGACAGGCTCGCTTCGAGTTCGTGGAGTCCGAGGCCAACACTGCAGACATCTTCACCAAGGCGCTTCCGCCTTGTGACCACCAGAGGTGTTGTGTGCAGTTAGGCCTTGTTGACACAGGTTCTAGTCATGTGTAGACTTGAGTTTATTGCCTGCTTCGTCTGTACACTTGCTATATATACTTGTGATCTCTTGGACTGGCCTTGTGGCCACTGTTGCTTGTGCTCAGAGTGTGTGGTGATGTTGTGATCCACCCTGAGCTTTGTTTTCTTTTGGACTGGTCTTGTGACCGTACTCTTTTTGATTTTGCTAGACACCCCTCACTTAGGCTATGGGGGTGTGTCAAATGTTGTAGCCTGTAGTGAGGTTTGTCTTAGGGGGTACAGAAGTTAGGGTTTGTCATATGTACCCCAACCAACATCAATGGAAACACCATTCCTCATTTTGACAGGGTCACCACAAACCCAGCACTCCCACTGTCGACCACCACCACTACAACCTTTGTCCCGAGTCGACTTCGTCTGGTCGATGTCCTTCGTCGACCTCCCACCTCCGCTACTTCCTCCGCCCAGCTTCGTGAGCTGCCCCTGTTAACAAGGTGATTACACTAACAAGTAAGCCCTGATCTCACCTGAAGTAGGCACTCCACTCCAAGTTTGGAGAAAAAACATGCAGCAAAGTCTATTTTCTTTTGCAATCTCTTTTTCTTTTTGTTCTTTCTCTGATTTGTTGGAGTGCTTATTTCTATCAATATCCGTTAAATAGCCCTTAGAACTTGCAACTATCCCGATTTCAGTGATGTCAGGGTCGTTTTCCGGGTAATACATGTCCTAACTGTACCAGGTAAGGTAAGGAAAATAAGGTGTGGCAACCTGATCAAAAGACATGACATAAAGGTCATCGTAAGGGTGACCTACAACCAATTTGTCGGCCTTGGCTTTGACTAGTGCATTGCTGCACGTGTTCATTCCTGAAACACTACAGACTTCATATATGCTCGCTTTCTTGCTTCCAGTCGCCGGGACAAGTCATCCATCGACTCCCTGAGAACCATTGCCATGGCCCTGCTGCCTCCTTCCTCCTCCCACCACACTGCCATCTCCTCTCGGGCTCTCTTCGCCTCCTCTCCCTCCTCCTCCTCCTCCTCCTCCTCCTCCTCCCCGTCCCACTTTCTCTTCCACCCTGGAAACTCCTCTTCCATTCCCTCATCCCCATCGTCACCCTCCTCATCGTAAAGGTCATCCATCCCCCCCTGATCACCACCACTGCCCAGCGCTGCACCACCCTCCTGATGCTTCCCAGGCTCTGCCTCCCCTGCACACACATCCACCCCTACTCCTCCTTTGCCGGCCCCGTGAACGCGTTGGGTTGACTGGGCCAAGCGCTGTGCATCTTTGTCGAGCATCTTGGCAGCAGTGGCTGTGACCTCGTGGATCCACGCGCAGCTCTGCAGGATGCGTGTGCTGCACTGCGGAGCCACGTGCGCTATGAAGAGCTCTGCCATTGCCCTGCGCTCCTGTTCCCCAGCACTCCACTTCGCCTCCTCCAGCTGCACTTCCTTCCCACGCGCTGCCTGCTGCTGCTGCTGCCGTGGCTGCTGCTGTGGCTGATGGGACTGGTCTGCCTGATCATTATGCCTGTCTGCATCTGTGGCACCGCCACTAGCAGGACCACTTGCAGCAGCAGTGTGAGCAGGAGTGTGAGCAGCATCATCTGTATCAGCATCATCAGCATCCAATGCAGTGGCATACCGTGTCGCCTGAGCAGCAGCACCAGCCCTGCCAGGCGACACAGCCCTGCCAGGCGACACAGCCCTGCCAGGCGACACGTCCCTGCCAGGCGACACAGCCCTGGACTTGTACACACCACGTGAAGACCCCTTGCCATGCCTTCCCCTCTTCCCCCTCCCACTTCCCCTGCTCGACGTGCCCACCTGAACTTCACCATCCTTTGCAGCAGCAGCAGCAGCAGCACAGGCCAACAACTCCCCATGACCCCCTTCTTCCCATTCTTTCACCGCAGTGGAATCCCCTTCCTGCACTCCTTCCCGCTCTGCACCCTTCCGCTTCCACTTCCCCGTCCCCTTCACCCTCCCCTTCCCACCCTCCCTGCTCAATGCGCCCACCTGCACTTCACCACCCTTTGCAGCAGCAGCAGCAGCAGCTCCAGCACGGGCCAACAACTCCCCATGGCTCTCCTCCTCACCTTCTTTCGCAGCAGTAGAATCACATTCGTGCACGTCCTCCCTCTCTGCACCCTTCCCCTTCCGCTTCCCCGTCCCTGTCCCCCTCCCCCTCCCCCTCCCGTTCCGTCCGCCCCTTTCCGCCCTCTCTCCGGCAGCCCTGGCTTTGGCAATCTTCCTCCTCTCCACCCTTGTAGCAACCGTCACTGTATCCTCCTCCTCCTCCTCCTCCTCCTCTTCCTCCTCGTCATCCCTCCTTCTCTTCCCCCCCCACACTTCCTCCCCTCTCTTCTCCCCATCCTCCTCCCCTCCCTTCGCCCCTTCCACCGCCCCCTCACCCCCGTCCTCATCGTCCAGAAATTCCCCATGCCAGTCCGATACAAGCGCATCCGCACACTCATCCCTGCCCTCCCGCTCACTCGACACCCCCTCCCTGCCCTCCTTGCCTGCTGCGCCCTCGCCGCCCTTCACTCGTGCACCAGAGCCGTCTCCTGTGGTTGCCTTGGCAGGGCGGCTCTTGGGAGGCGCGGGTCGGCGCAGAGGCATGGACATGGGCACGAGGCCTGCATGGGGAGTGTGGGGTCAGAGAGATGCTTTTTGACACGTCTGATAAGAGGCACATAGCCAGAAGGTGTAGTGTGGGGGTCAGAGGGGTGGGAGGGCGTGGAGGGGAGGGAAGAGGGGAGAGGGAAGGGCAAAGAGAAGGGATGGGGAAGGTAAAGCGGAAGGAAATGGAAAAAGGAAAGGGGGAGGGAAGGGAGAGGGCAATGGGAGGGGAGGGAACAAAGCAAAGAGACTCTGCACTGTGGCAGGTGAATTAGTGATTGACAACAAAAAAGGAGTGATACGAACGCTTTCCCTCATGCCTCTCCTGCAAAAGCACCTATTTCTTCCTCTTTTCCCCATACCTTCTCCCCTCGTCGTCCACCCCTCACTCTCCCTCTGATCTCCCAGCCTCCCTGTTTCTGCTCCCTCCCCCCCCCGCCTTCCCCCCCTCCCCCCCTTTTCCCCCGCTTGCCCACGCTTCCCCCCCTCCTCCCCCCACCTGCCACCATGTCCTCGGTCCTGTCTGTGGGCACCAGGCGCACCACCTTGCTCTCCCCCACTCCCTGCACCGCCTCCACCTGCCCATGGCCCAGGAGGAAGGAGGGGAAGGGGAAGGAGGGGAAGGGGAAGGAGGGGACGGGGAAGGAGGGGAAGGGGAAGGAGGGGACGGGGAAGGAGGGGAAGGGGAAGGGGAAGGGGAAGGGGAAGGGGAAGGGGAAGGGGTCGGGGAAGGGGAAGGGGAAGGGGAAGGGGAAGGGGAAGGGGAAGGGGAAGGGGAAGGGGAAGGGGAAGGGGAAGGGGAAGGGGAAGGGGAAGGGGTAGGGGAAGGGGAAGGGGAAGGGGAAGGGGAAGGGGAAGGGGAAGGGGAAGGGGAAGGGGAAGGGGAAGGGGAAGGGGAAGGGGAAGGGGAAGGGGAAGGGGAAGAGGAAGACGAATGGGCAAGTTCAGGAGGTTCAGAATCTGGATCACATGCATTGACCTGCACACTAACACTCAGAGCTTCCCACAGCAAATGCTGTGAATCTTATTTTTGCCATTGCAGTGAGATGAACAGCCTGTGCAGGCAGCAATGGTCCGTTGCTCTGCGCTGCTGTCCCTACCTGCTGTGCAAGGGCCAACGGCCTGTATGCACTGATAATTAAGCACTGATCGCTCACCTCAGTGCATCCAGCACTAGACCGTCTACTATGAAGAGTGCACCTATTAGGTGGGCAATGGGTACCTAGCTAGCTAGCTAGCTTGATGCTTGCTGACATACCATGTAGCCCTGGCACACGAGCAGCAGAATGAGGTGCTGCACCACCGCACGGGGCAGAGGCTTCACTGCCACCGGTGGTGCGGGTGCTTGGAGGGCAACAGTGGCTGTGGCAGGAGTGGCAGGAGTGGCAGGAGTAGGAGTGGCGGAGGCGGTTGGAGTGGCAGGGGCGGTTGGAGTGGCAGGGGCGGTTGGAGTGGCAGGGGCGGCTGGAGTGGCAGGGGCGGCTGGAGTGGCAGGGGCGGCAGCAGTGGGAGAAGATGAGAGAGTGACAGGAGCAGGGAGCGGGGTGTGTGGGAGGGGTTGTGCTGTTTCACTAAGGGCGGTGGAAGCAGTGGAAGCATGGGAGATGGAATCAGCAGCTGCAGCAGCAGCGGATGGAGGGGTTGCAAGCGCAGCGTCAGGCGAGATGGTTTCCCCCACAGCACTGCTGTCTGCTGCACCAGCCGTAGCAGCAACACCACTGGTAACTGCAGAACCAGCAGCACCAGCGGTAGACACAGCAGCAGTGGTAACCGTAGCAGCAGTGGTGGAGTCAGCAGGCATAGCAGCAGCGGCGGTAGCAGCAGGCATTGCGGCGTCTTGACCTGGGGGCTGTGCAGCCATTTGAGCTTGGCTCATCAGTGCTGCCGCCTCTGCTCCACACAAGCAGCCCAGGAGAGAATGCGTGCGTGGGGAAGGGAAGGGAGAGGTTAAAGGGGAAGGTGATTCAAGGGCGAAGAATGTTGAAGAGATGGTTTAGAGGGGAGAAGGCACGAGAGGACGAAGAAGAGGGAAGCAGGCATGATAACTCGACTTGCAGCATAAGGGAGCATGAAGGGCGTGGTGGCAGGCGGGCAGAGTATGAGGCGAGCTCGGAAGAGGGATGCTGGTGGACTCGAGGGTGTATACGAGACTTGCATAATCTGAGTACAGAGTGCAAGGCATGAGGAGTCGGGAACGGTGGCAGCAACGGTCCCACTGAGTACAGACAGACCCTGGATGCACGTGGACCGGTGTGACAATGCCTCCCTCCCCTCTCACACCCCTCTCCCTCCCCCCCTCCCTCTCCCTCCCGTCCTTTCTTCCCACCTTCTCCACCAGCCTCCTCCCCTCTTACACCCCTCTCCCTCCCATCCGTTCTTCCCACGCCACCACCCTCGCCTCCTCTCACCGGAGGCAGCGCCGGAGCGGAAGAACTCGTTGGCGAGCTGGGGGGCGGTGAGGGGCGTGGGCGAGTCCGCCAGGATGCGCGCCAGCAGCATGGCGTATGCTGCACGGCGGGATGCGGGGGGGGATAGGGGGACGAGCGGTGGGGGAAAGGAAGGAGGGGAAGGAGGGGAATGAAGGGGGGACAGAGGGCGAGGGAACGATGGGTTGGAGGGGGGAAGGGAGTGGTGGGGAACTGGTGTAGGGGGGGATGTTTTGCTTGAGATAAACCTGAATTGAGTTGGGAGGAGTTTCAGAGGCAGCAGATGAGCAGGAGGGCATGGGAGGAGATAACAAGCGACATGCCCAAATGCTCCTGATGCAGATCCGGGTTCAAACACCATTTTCAGAAAGTGAAACACAACACTGCTGGGACATGTGACATAACAATGCAGGATCATGGAACACAAGTTTCGGAACAGGGAAAACAAATCTTCACAATGTGTATGACACAGTCATCGGAACATGGAATGGAACACAACATGGGACCACGGATCACGCCAATATGGGACCACGGATCACGCCAATATGGGACCACGGATCACATAACTAGCACTAAAAATAACACCAAAGTGTCGGAATATGGAACAGTACATTGTCGGGATAGGGAATACGAAACAGGACAGCACAATATTACGGAACATTTTCAGCATTTTTGCACAAGGAGGGAGAGCTAAGGGGGCACGGGTGAGAGAAGAGCAAAAGGCAAAGAAAACACTCTTACGAGAGAGAGGGGAGCGAAAAGCAGAGAAAATACACTTAGTGTGCGAGTGCGAGAACGGAGAGGGGGAGCTACGAGTGCAAGTGAGGGAGCTTACGAGTGACGTCCTTTTCTTCAAAGCCCCTTGAGTTGCTGCAGTTGTCACAAAAGCCTGCAGTGAATGACCCATCCCATGGGGTTGGGGTGTTGCAAGACAAGACATGGATGGATGGAGTGGAACGTGTCACTAACAGCACTTGAATACGACCATGGGTTCAGCAATGGATTCAGCATTTTGAGTCAAAGGTGCTAGAGAAGGCCGAGCGTGGTGGGGAGCGGCTAGGAGCGGTCGGGCACGGTCTGGTGCGGTCTAGTGCAGTGGAAAGCAGCTAAAAGCAGTCGGGTGCGGTGAGGAGTAGTTGGTGTGGTCTGGTGCGGTCTAGTGTGGTGGAGAGTGGCTAGGAGGGGTTGTAAGCGAGTGTGGGGGGGGGGGGGGGGGGGGCGCATATTAGGGTTTCCAGGTGGGGCTAACAGGTGCCGGACTTAATATGGAAGTACAATGCACGAGGATACTTCGTTTGATGAGGCGCAAAAGCAAGCAACGCATCAAGAGAGCAGCAGCAGCCATGCAAACCTACCCAAAAGTCATACATTTGGCCCAGAAACACGTGTGTTACCCCCGCCAGTCCTCCAGCCCCAACCCAGCCCATCCCCCCAACCCAACCCAGCCAATCCCCCCAACCCAGCCAACTTCCCAGCAGGCCAGCCCGCATGGCAGGCAGGCAGGCAGTCGAGCCCAGAACGTACCTCCACAGGGCTGCTCGTCGGGGCTGTCAAGGTCAAAGTGGCGCAGCAGCAGCTTGTGCCGGCACACACTGCGATTCTGATGCCGTGCACACGTGGGGGAAGGGGCAGGCACGGGGGATGGAAGGTGGGGAGTGGGGGCGGGGAGAGGGAGAGACGGCAGAGTGGGGATGAGAGATGTGATTGCAGGGACAGGTGGGCTGGAGAGGGACCGAGGGATGTAGGGGAGAGGGAGATAGAATGGTGTGTGATGCAGGTGGGAGAGGGGCAGGCAAAAAGGGAGGACGGAATGAGAAACAAGAACTACGAGGATGTGGAGGGAGGTTACAACAAGATCTACCATGTATATGTACCCATCCAATACTGACGCACCCATCCAATACTGACACCCATCGACCCCCCACCACCGCGCATAAGTCAGGCAGGAGCATACCATGCAGTAGGCGGCGACTTGGTTGCAGGTGTGGAACTCACGTATCTTCCCGGGCCCACATGCACGCTTCTGAGAGCAGGGAAGGGCACAGAGGGAGATGGATGGATGGAGGCATTGACAACAGTCTCGCGGTGGCATGGAAGGCAGTCCGCAGGCAACAGGGGCTGGATAGAGGGGGCCCGCAAGTGGCATGGGAGGGGTGTGGGTGGAGAAGCATGGCCACAGCAGTAGCAGGTGGGCTGTGACACGGCATGACATGGCATGGCGTGGCATGGCGTGGCATGGTATGGCATGGCATGGCATGCCATGGCGTGGTGTGGCATGACATGGCAGCATGGCATGGCGTGCGGTGGCATGGCATGGTACAGCAGGGCGTGGCATGGCATGGTACAGCAGGGCGTGGCATGGCATGGCATGCAGCGCACCATGTAGCCGAGGTCTGCGGGGGAGAAGTAGACAATGGCGTGGCATGGCAGCTTGTCCCTGCCCGCCCTCGCACTCTCCTGGTGGTCACACGGTGAAGAGTGGAGGGAGGGGGGAGCAGGGTGTGAGGGTGTGAGGGTGTGATGTGAGGGTGGAGGATGAATGGGGGGGGGCATTGGGAGATACAAACAAGTGAAGAAGGCTCCACGGATTCGAGGAAACAAAGCGGGGGAGTGCGGGTGAGGGCACCGGTGCGAGACGAGACAACGACACGCTGTGGTGTGAGATCACATGACAGCCGCACAGTGTTAGGCGGCCACGCAAGGGCTGAATCTTCCATGTGGCATGGCATGGCATGTGCAGTGGGGCGCACTGGGCGCGCATGTATACATGCATGCATGCATGCATGCATGGCATGCACGCATGGCAGCCACGGGGCGCTGACCTGGTAGAGGCTCTCCATGGACTTGGGCATGCTGTAGTGGATCACATACCGCACTGTGACGCGCGCATGGGAGGTGGCGAGGGGAGGGGAGGGGATGGGAGGGGAGGGGAGGGGAGGGGAGGGGAGGGGAGGGGAGGGGAGGGGAGGGGAGGGGAGGGGAGGGGAGGGGAGGGGAGGGGAGGGGAGGGGAGGGGAGGGGAGGGGAAGGGAGGGGCGGGGAGGGGAGGGGAGGGGAGGGGAGGGGAGGGGAGGGAGGGGATGGGGAGGATGGGAGGAAATGGGAGGGGATGGGAGGTGAGGGGAAGTGAGGGGAGGTAAGGGGAAGTGAGGAGGGTAAGTGAGCGATTGAGTGTCGGGGACAAAGAGCAATAGAGTAAGTGTTCTGAATGAGTTAACGCTTCGATCAAACAGGAACGAGGCCAGTCAATGCTCATGTTTGGAGAAAGGTGTACGCACAGACAGTAATATGCGCAGTGAGCGAGTCGAAGCACGACTGGGAGACAAGCATCAACCAGCAAATGCGTGGAATGCAGTGACAACGGTGCAATGGCACATGGCACACAAAACGCTTGAGCGCAGTTGCACAGGGAAGGAGAACAAGGGAATGCAAAAGGAGGACACGGGAAGGTTGGGTACTGACCATCAGACTGGTGGATGCCTGCTCCAAAGGCGTTCTGATGGGCGGTGAGAGCAGATACGGGATGGCACAAGGAGGGGACAGGCGCAGGGGTGAAGGGGACAGTGGGAGTGGGGAAGATGGGAACAAGAGGGGAGGGGAAGAGGGGGACAGTGGAGAGAGAAGAGGGGGGATGGGCGGAGAGGGGAAGAGGGAAGAGGGGGACAGGTGGAACGAGAAGAGGGGGACGGATGGAGAGGGGAGGAGGCGGACGTGGGGGAAAGGGCCGCTGGGGGAGAGGTGGAAAGGGTGGTGAGGAGAAGCAGTGAGAAAGCGAATCGATGCAACAAGGGAGTGAACGGGGCTTGGCAAAGACATGGATGGAATGTCATCTGAAACACATCAAGCCGCATGCACTCGCTTGTACGAAGATTCATGCAACATTGCTATAGGAACGAGAACAGCAAAAAAAAAGGGCGGGAGGGGCGTGGGGGGGGGAGGGGTTGGGAAGGTGAGAGGTTGGGGCAGAGGAAGGGGGTGCTGTAAGTAAGGGGGAAAGAGAGAAGGGGCATGGTGAAGGGTGGAGAGAAGAGAGTACCGTTGCTGCAAGAACTTGAATTTCCTTCTTCCGCCACCTGGCAGGGGATACAGCGCACCGTCACACCCCCTCCTCCTCCCCACCATGGCCCCCCACCACACCCACGCACACACGCACACATGCACTCACAAATACCCACCCCTCCCCCCTCCCCCCAACAAACCCAGACACACTCACACACATCCCCGCACAAACATGCACAGCCAAGTTCAGATTAACAATAGCAGAGGGAAAACAAGTAAGCCAAATCAATCAAGTACACCAACACGCACATGCTCTCACGGTGCAGGACACCCCCCTTTCCTCACTGCTGCCGATCAATACCCCTTACAATCAACCACCCCCTTGCCACCTTCTCTCAGCCCACACCCCTACCCTCGCCGCCCATGCATGCATGCCCGCTCAGTCCCTTGAGGCCATACGTCACAGCCCGGGCGCGCCGTGCAGGCACCCACCTGTCCTGGTGGTCGTCCCGGTCAGCCACGCCCAGCTTTGCACTGTACGCCAGCGCTGACACCCCTGCCTGCCGCAGCTTCCGAGCCACCTGCATGCCCCACCCTCACCACCCGCACGCACGCATGCACACACACATGCCCACACTCTCATACACACGCGCGTACGCACAAACCCACGTGCGCGCACACACATGCACACACATGCACATGCACATACGCACGCAAACACGCACGCGCGCGCGCACACACACACACACAGACACACACACACGAACCCACCCACACACACACACACACACACACGCGCGCGCGTGCGCATAGCATACGCACACGCACACGCACATGAGATTGCTTGGGGCACCCACGCTTGGGTCATGTGTCAACGTACCGACAACCCCAAATGTGAAACACGACCTCCCAACTTTCGCTCCACTGGTGAACCAAGAGAGGGTGACAACAGATGCCGTGAGCGGATGACACAGACCACCTCCACAGAGAAGCAGACCACCTCCACAGAGAAGCGGATTACACTGTACCAAAACTGTCCCAAGACTGTACCAATACTATCAAAACACTGTCCCAAAACTGTCCCAAAACTGTCCGAACACTGTCACAACAATGTCGCAACACTGTAGCAACAATGTCGCAACACTGTAGCAACACTGTCGCAACACTGTCCCAACACTGTCGCAACAATGTCATGTCGCAACGCTGTCGCAACACTGTCTCAACACTATCGCAACACTGCCGCAACACTGTCGCAACACTGCCGCAACACTGGCGCAACACTGTGAAAAACTGTCGCCACTATCCCAACACTGTCGCAACACTGCCGCAACACTGTCGCAACACTGCCGCAACACTGTCGCAACACTGTGCAAACACTGTCGCAACACTGTCCCAACACTGTCACAACACCGTCACAACACTGTGCCAACACCGTCGCAACACTGTGCCAACACCGTCGCAACACTGTCGCAACATTGTCGCAACACTGTCGCAACACTGTCGCAACCCTGTCGCAACACTGTCCTAGATATGAGCACGAACCGAACTCAAACATGTTTGCGCAAACCTTTTCGAACCTTGCATGTAGGTCGAACCGAACCGAACTGGTTTTCTCGAACTTTTTTTAAGACTTTTGAGGTTTGAGGTTTGAGAATATAACGGCGAACCGTAAAGGTTTGCTCAAACCTTTCAAGGTTTGAGCGAACTCGAACCTATTTAGGTTTGGGGTTTAGAATGATGCACATGTAACTCTAAAACACATGCATGTCTAACGCTTCAAGGAGAGCTACATGTTCAGGTAGCGTGGTGGTGAAAGAACCATGTAGAGGAGTCATGCCTGAACTGGTGCCTAGACTTGATCTAGATCTAGATGTTAGCTACTAAAACTACGACCCTAGGGTTAGCTGCCTCGAAATGGTAGCCAACCTTTCGACTTTCCCGATTTTGACAGGAAAGTCCAGGGGGTTTCGGTTTGGCGGGATATTTAATTCGAACCCCCAAGCGGTTTGAATTTAACACATTCGAACTTCGAACCTGTTCGGTTCGAGGTTCGAATCTCGACCTGGAAAAGTTTGCGCAAACAGTTCGCGCGAACTTCTCGTAGGTTTGCTCATACTTTTTTGCCCAAAAAAAAAGTTCGGTTCGAGATAACTCGAACCGAACTTCTCGAACCGAACCTAAGTTTGTTTCGATGCTCATATGTACACTGTCCCAACACTGTCTCAACATTGTCGCAACACTGTCTCAACATTGTCGCAACACTGTCTCAACACTGTCCCAACACTGTCGCAACACTCGCAACAGTGTCGGAACATTGTCCCAGCACTTGCAACAGTCTCGCAACACTACCCCAGCAGTGTCGCAACATTGTCGCAACACTGTCCCAAAACTGTCCCAACACCGCCCGAAATCTGTCGCAACACTGTCGCAACATTGTCGCAACACTGTTGCAACACTGTCGCAACACTGTCACAACACTGTCGCAACAATGTCGCAACACTGTCGCAACACTGTCGCAACACTGCCACAATACTTGCGCAAAACTGTCCCAAAACTGTCCCAACAATGTCGCAACACTGTCGCAACATGGTCCCAGCAATGTCGCAACACTGTCCCAACACTATCGCAACACCATTGCAACACTGTCGCAACACCGTCCCAACCCCGTCCCAACACCGTCGCAACACTGCCCCAACCCCGTTCCAACACCGTCGCAACACTGTCCCAACACCGTCGCAACACTGTCGCAACATTGTCGCAACACCATTGCAACACTATCCCAACACTGTCCCAAGACTGTAGCAACACTGTCCAAACACTGTCCCAACACTGTCCCAACATTGTCTGAACACTGTCACCACACTGTCGCAACATTGTCGCAACACTGTCGCATCAAAGCCGCAACACTGCCGCAACACTATCGCAACACTGTCGCAACATTGTCGCAACATCGTTGCAACATTGTCCCAACACTGTTCCACGACTGTGGCAACACTGTCAAAACACTGTCCTAACATTGTCCGAACATTATTGCAACACTGTCGCAACACGGTCCCAACACTATCGCAACACTGTCGCAATTTTGCAACACTGTCCCAACAATTTCGCAACACTGTCCCAGCAATGTCACAACACTGTCCCAAAACTGTCCCAGCACCGTCCGAAATCCGTCGCAACACTGTCGCAACACTGTCCCGACATTGTCCCAACACTTTCCCAAGACTATAGTAACACTGTGAAAACACAGTCCTAACATTGTCCGAACTGCGGAGATAACTGCAGCAACGGGAGCTAGGCTGCGGGCTAGGCACGTGTGCTCGTGTGATCTCTGCGTTCGTTAGTCCTTAGTCGTTTTCCTTGTGCACACACTACTTGCTAGTTCACGGGGAAAATTGGCAAGAGTTTCACTAGGAAAACATGACAACAATGATACAAGGAAGTTGGCATAGCAAGACTACATCAGAGCAAGCATTCAGGTCGGCCAACTGCCAGCGCAGCTTGGTCGACCGCGTTCCAGCACGACTTGGTCGACCGCGCTCCAGCAAGGCAAGGTCGACGGCGTGCCAACGTCGCAGGTTGACGGCGTGACAGCGTTGCTCACGCAGGACAGCAGTGCACCCTGCTTTGCAGTTGTGTGCAGATGATTGGCGTGCAGAGTCTCGTCACCTGCACAGCGCACACACCACGTCAACCTCGAGCTGACGACTGCCTCTGATCCGCCACGACGACCTCGGGATACCACCACCGAGGTCGGGCTCGCCAACTTCGCCTGGGCGACCGTAGCACCCCTCCGCAGCACTTCGTCACCCAGGTAACCTGGTCGACCAGGCAACCACGTCGACCAGCAGTTCCCGTACGTGCCCGTCGACCTCGCAGGTCGACGACCACCTCCACGTCGACCTCCTCCAGGTCGACGTCCCCTCTGGTCGACCAGCTCCACGTCGACCAGTACTCCTGGTCGACCTGCTCCCCGTCGACCAGCACAGTCGTCGGCTGACCACCCACGTCGGCCACCCAAAGCTAGCGTCACGAAGTTGACGCCCCGCTACTCGACGCCCAACTGCTCGGCGTCCTGCGTCAAGGTCGACGTCGGCCCCTCCTTCGTCGACCACCAGGTCCAGTCGACCACTAACAGGTCGACCAGCAGTCCATTAGCCGACCGCCGAAGTCGGCTTCACCAAGTTGACGTCCTCCGCAGGTCGACTCCCAAGTCGACCTCCCTGAAGTCGGCGCCACCCTGAAGTCGGCGCCCGTGCAGTGGTCCCCCGTGCAGGTCGACCTCCTCGTCGACCAGCTCACCCACTGCTGCAGGTCGGCTGCTCCCCTCACACCCGACCACGAAGTCGGCTCCGCCCAAGCGAGGACGGGGCCAATACCCAACTCCCGTTGACACGAACAGTGTCGCAACACTGTGGCAACATTGTTGCAACACTGTCGCAACACTGTCCCAACATTGTCCGAAAACTGTCGCACCACTATCGCAACACTATCGCAACATTTTCGCAACACTGTCCCAACACTGTCGCAACACTGTCCCAACACTATCCCAACACTGTCCGAAAACTGTCGCAACTGTCGCAACATTGTCCCAACACCGTCGCAACACTGTCGCTGTCAACGGGAGTTGTGTTTGGCCCCGTCCTCGCTAGGGCGGAGCCGACCTCGTGGTCGGGTGTGCAGGGGGATGTAGCCGACCTGCAGCAGTGGGCATGGGAGCCACTGCAAGGGCGCCGAGCTGGAGGGCGCCGAGCCAGAGGGCGCCTAGCTAGAGGGCACCGAGCTGGAGGGCGCCGGGTTGGAGGGAGCCGAGCAGGAGGACGCCATCCTGGGCGTATGGTCGGCGTCCCCGGTGTTAGTGTTAGCCTTCAATCTCACACTTTGTACTTTGTATTTTCTATATCCTAGAGTAGTGTAGTTTGCACATTGTGTTTGGTTGGGTGTACACCTACATCCCAACCAAACCCAAATGTAATCTCCAAGCAATCTCCAACCCACCAATTTGAGATTGACTTGGGATTACCCCTAATCCCTAGGATTGCCCCCGATTCCCTTCCCCATCCATTCCCTCCCCTTCTTGGATGTATTTAAAGAGCTTCAAGCTCATTACTAATGCATCGCTTCTAAGCCTAAGTTCTAAGACCCGGCTCCTGAATGTCGACCTGGGAGTCCGTACGGCGTCACGGGCGCCTAGACGCCGACCTAGGCGCCATGACGCCGACCTCGTGGTCGGGTGTGCAGGGGGATGTAGCCGACCTGCAGCAGTGGGCACGGGGGCCACTACAAGGGCGCCGAGCTAGAGGGCGCCTGGCTGGAGGGCGCCGAGCCAGAGGGCGCTTGGCTGGAGAGCACCGAGCTGGAGGGCGCCTGGCTGGAGGGCACCGAGCAAGAGGACACCGTCCTGTGCGTCTGGTCTATGTCCCAGGCTCCTGAACGCCGACCTGGGCGTCCGGACGGCGTCACGGGCGATTGGACGCCGACCTGGGTGCTTGGATACCGATTCTGGGATACCGGTTCTGGGGACGCCGGTCTGGTGTAGCCGGCGACCGGCTAGGCTGGACGACCAGGCGTAGTTGCCCGGTCGACCGACTTGCCCGGGCGACGTGTGCGATGGTCGCCACGGTGGTGTCTGCGAGGACGACCTCGGAAGTGGTATCCCGAGGTCGACGTGGCTGGTAGGCGCAGTCGCTGGCGTGTACTCTGCCAGGCGTCTGCGCTGTGCACTTGACAAGGGGTGGAGCACCAACCAGCCGGGCGCACCTGCGAAGGGTGCACCGTTGTCATGCGGGTGCAACGCTGTGCAGCCGACTTGCTGCAGCGTTGGCACACCGTGGACGCAACGTTGGCAAGCCTCTTCTTTGCAGCGCCGGAGCGGTGCAAGCTTTGCAACACTGGACCGCAGTCGACCGTGCTGCGCTGGAGGTCGACCGACTTGCTTGCTAGCTCTGATGTAGTCAGTGTTGCCAATGTTGTTCTAAACATTGTTGTAAACTTTTGCTAATGAAACTTTTGCCGGATTTCTCCGTGAATAAGCAAGTAGTGTGAGCACGAGTTAACAACTAAGAAACGAACACAGAGATCACTCCTACTCTGTGCCTTTCCCGTTGTCTAGCTCCCGTTGATTGAGTTATTTCCGCAGTCGCAACACTCTCGCAACACTGTCCCAACACTGTCGCAACACTGTCGCAACACTGTCGCAACACTGTCGCAACACTGTCGCAACAATGTCGAAACATTGTCGCACACTGTCCCAACCATGTCGCAACACTTTCACAACACCGTCCCAACACTGTCGCAACACTGTCGCAACTCTGGCGCAAGACAATCCCAAAACTGTTCGCAACACTGTTCGCAACACTGTAGCAACACTGTCCCAACACTGTCGTAACACTGGCGCAACACTGTCCCAAAACTGTCGCAACACTATCGCAACACTGTTACAACACTATCGCAACACTGTTCCAAAACCGTCCCAACACTGTCGCAACACTGCCGCAACACTGTCCCAACACTGTCGCAACACTGTCACAAAACTGTCGCAACACAGTTGCAGCACTGTCACGACATTGTCGCAACACTGTCCCAACACTTGTCGTAACACTGTTACAACACTATCCAAACACTGTCGCATCACTGTCGCAACAGTGTCCCAAACCTGTCCCGACACTGTCGCAACACTGTCCCAACACTATCCTAGCACTTTCCCAACACTCTCCTTACACTCTCCCAACAGTGTGTAGAGTAAGAACGGACCTCCTCGGTGTCCTCGCGGCGCCAGCAGTACACGAGGCCTGTGTGTCCGGGGTACGTGCTCTGAATGAACTCCACCATGTCTGCCACCACACTCTTGCGCTTCACTCGCACCTGGGGGGAGGGAAGGGGGAGGGGGATCAAAGAGTTTAATTTTAATTGACTGAAAAATTCACCTGGATGAACGCCACCACGTCTGCGCCACGCTCTTGCGCTTCACCCGCACCTGGGGCAGAGAGCGGGGGGAGGGGGGGAGCAAAGAGCTTGTCAAGACCATGCCCAGATGCCTGCCACCACACTCTTGTGCTTCACCCGCACCTAGGTGGGAGGGTAAGAAGGGGAAGAGGGAGGAGGCGGGGACGTGAAAGAAGCACGGAAGAGAATGTGAGAGGAGGAGGGGAAAGGTAGGATGGGTATTGGAGGTGAGTGAGCTGGTGGCAGCTTCATGACTCGGATTGCTGCATAGCAAACTACAGAAGAAGGTTAGCGGCTAGGGCTTGTTGAAAAGGCCGGCCATTAGGGTAGGTGTTGGGCGGGTGAAGGCTTGGCAGGACTAGCCAAGCAAGCCTCCTCCAGCACGAAAACCGCCCTGCTTGGCGGGTGTGTGCGCGACCTCTGGCTAAATAATTTGCAACCTCAGCTGGTACCATGGCCTCTCCTTGCTCTTTCTACTCACTACTTCTGATTTGACTCTCTTTTGGGCGTGTCACAGCAGGAAAGCCATGAGCAAGCAAGCAGACTCTATGAGGCCATGCGCCGGCAATGGAGCGCAGCGCAAGCAGGCACGGCACCTCGTAGTGCATGTGGGGCAGGCGGATGGAGGAGACGAAGGTCTGCGTGTTGCTCATCTGCAGTCCCAGCCTCGCCCTCAGCTCCTGCTGTGCTGCCTCGTTGGCTGTCGCCTGACATCACAGGTGGGGAAAGGAGTAGGGCGAAGGGTGGGGGGGATGGTGGGGGAAGGATAAACCAAAATCAGGGAACAGAGGTAGAAGCAGAAGGTGTATTGGCAAGAGCAATGGGCCAAGGCAATGTTAAGAGAGAGGAGAGGGTAGTGGCGAAGAAGCACAAGGCAGGCAGTGCACAGAAGCAAGCGGCATGTGCGGATTGAGAGCAGTGAGCACGAGGTGCAAGGCCAGGCTGTGATGGGGATGGCAATTGGGGGGGGACAGGAAGGCGGACGAGATGCCTTGTGAAATTGATGTGGGATGATGGTGGTAAGAAAGAAGGCAGGAATAAGGGACAAAGTGAGAAAAGGAGGCATGAAAAGACGATGGGATGCGGAAGGGGAAGGACGAGGCTGTACACAGAGGAGGATGTTCCGAGGTGAAGGGGGAAGGAACATATGGCGAGGGGCAAGACACACGAGAAGACGGGGAAACCACAAGGAGAGGGAAACCACAAGGAGGGGGAAACCACAAGGAGAGGGGGAAACACTAGAGGCAGGCATGCAAAGAGAGAGGCTCAGAGGCGTGCAGGAGGGAAGGGCGAGCGGCGGAGGAGGGTGGGTAGGTACAGTAATGGCGAAGACAGGCACGCCTGGGAAGCAGCCACGCAGATGCTCGCCCACTATTTTGAGGAAGGGGCGGAAAGGGTCGCTGCCGTTGCAGTGATGTGCCTCCTGGTGGGGTAGAGGGAGAGGGGGGGTAGGGGGGAAGAATGGACGAAGAGGGGGGTAGGGGAGAATTATGGATGGAGAGGGGGTGAAGGAAGGAGAGAGAGGGAGAGGAGGGGTGGAGAAGGTGAGGGAGGGAGAGGGGGGTAGGAAGGGAAGAGAGGAAGAGAGGGGGGAGGAATGAGACGGTTTGGAGAGGGAATGACAATAGGAATGTTGGGAAACTACCTCGTACCCCTGCAACACTCCCTCTATTGTAGAGAGCACTAGAGTGCACCACAATGCACCACAGTGCACCACAGTGCACCATCTAGCTCGACACAGCAGTCACCATCAAGCCCCATCCCTCCCTCCCTCCCTCCCTCCCTCCCTCCCTCCCTCCCTCCCTCCCTCCCTCCCTCCCTCCTCCCTCCCTCCCTCCCTCCCTCCCTCCCTCCCTCCCTCCCTCCCTCCCTCCCTCCCTCCCTCCCTCCCTCCCTCCCTCCCTCCCTCCCTCCCTCCCTCCCTCCCTCCCTCCCTCCCTCCTCCCTCCCTCCCTCCCTCCCTCCCTCCCTCCCTCCCTCCCTCCCTCCCTCCCTCCCTCCCTCCCTCCCTCCCTCCCTCCCTCCCTCCCTCCCTCCCTCCCTCCCTCCCTCCCTCCCTCCCTCCCTCCCTCCCTCCCTCCCTCCCTCCCTCCCTCCCTCCCTCCCTCCCTCCCTCCCTCCCTCCCTCCCTCCCTCCCTCCCTCCCTCCCTCCCTCCCTCCCTCCCTCCCTCCCTCCCTCCCTCCCTCCCTCCCTCCCTCCCCTCCCTCCCTCCCTCCCTCCCTCCCTCCCTCCCTCCCTCCCTCCCTCCCTCCCTCCCTCCCTCCCTCCCTCCCTCCCTCCCTCCCTCCCTCCCTCCCTCCCTCCCTCCCTCCCTCCCTCCCTCCCTCCCTCCCTCCCTCCCTCCCTCCCTCCCTCCCTCCCTCCCTCCCTCCCTCCCTCCCTCCCTCCCTCCCTCCCTCCCTCCCTCCCTCCCTCCCTCCCTTCCTCCCTCGCTCACCCGCCAGGGAAGCGCCAGCAAGCAGCACTCACATCCACGACAATGAGTCGCAGTGCCCTGCGCTCGTAGCACTGCTGCAGCGCTGCTGTCAACTCCCGGCACTTCTCCAGCGCCTCTGGCGTCACGTACACACACAAGTGCTCCCGCCCCGGCCCTCCCCACCCCACCCCCGCACCCACACCCACACCCACACCCACACCCACACCCACACCCGCCCCTCCTGCCATGCCCCCAGGTGCGTGGCCTGCAGCAATGCTGGCGGTGGGGGTGGAGAGCGAGTGGCAGGGCAGGGAGAGCGGCGCATTGGCGTCGCCTCGGAGGGTGCTGAAGACAGCTTGGCGGTGGCGGCGGTCCTCCATGGACGGGTGCCCCAGCACCATGCCCACACAAATCGGCAGCTGCCGCAGCGCCTGCACCTGGTGGTGGGTGCAGCAGACGGGTTGGTGGGTGGGTGGGTGGGTGGGTGGGTGGGTGGATGGGTGGGTGGGTGGGTGGGGTGGGGCCCCGACCGGGGGGGAAGGGTGGGTATGGGAGAGTGAGTGGTGTGTTTGTGTTGTGGGTGGGCTGTGGAGTGGCGTTTCACGCTGTCTCTTTCCCAGCCACCAGTGCGTGAAGAGACAGCCCCCGTCTCTAGCAACTCATTTCCACAGTAACCGTTTTCCCCCCCCTTGTTACCGTCTCTCCCTGTTAATGTTAGCCCTCAATCGCACATTTGTGCTTGTACTTTGTATATCCTAGCTTAGTGTAGTTTACACTTTGTGTTTGGTTGGGTGTACACCCACATCCCAACCAAACCCAAATGTAATCTCCAAGCAATCTCCAACCCACCAATTGGAGATTGCCTTGGGATTACCCCCAATTCCCTAGGATTGCCCCCGATTCTCTCCCCACCCTTACCTTGCCCATTTCCAATGTACTTAAAGAGCCTTGAGCTCATTACTAATGTATGGATTCTAAGCTCAAGTCTTGACATGGTATCTGAGCCATTTAACCGCACACGCGTATCATGATCCTCCTATCTCAACGGGCTTTTGTCCCACTTTCTTCGGCGTACCCACCATCAATCCCGTCACCGGTGATTCGCGACTTCTCTGGCCAGAAATTGTCCCGCGACACTCTCCCTTCCTTCTCGACGACTTTCGCGACTTCTCTGGTAAGCGGCAAAGCGTGACATTCCCCTCTGTCCTACTCCGCACACTCACTCTCCTCTCCCCGTACCCTTTCCCCACGTCCCTTCCCCTCCCTCGCTTATGTTAGATTATACTACTCTTCTGTATCCTGAATTGATCCTATAAACCCTAGGATAGAGATAGGCACCCAAACTATGTTTGGGTGCACAACTAGGGTTATCCCTAGTTTGGGGTTGGAACCCAACCTTGGTCCAATTATTGGCCCCCAAGGTTGGGTTAGGAGATTATTCCCCCCCCCAATAATGTTGGTTCACCTTGACCAGCATTATTGGGACCCCCCAATAATTCTCCAATCCAACTTATTGGTGGGGGGCCAATAGTGTTGACTAGGTACCCAACCAACCCCCCCTTCCCTAGATCCAACTATGTAAACCCACAGCATTCCTAATCGAGCTATCGGTTCAATTCTAACATGCTATCAGAGCTCTTACGGCCAACGCCGCTCAAGATCTTAGGTACTCCACACTCCACACCTCCACACTCCCCTGTCCCCTCTTTCCCTCAGGTACCGTCACAGGTCTCTATATCCCCTCCCTTCGTAACAACCTGGTATCCCTTGGTGCCCTCTCAACGGCAGGTGTCACTGCCATATTCCCTGGTCATGCGGCATATTGTGACTTATTTCACACCTTCTCCGGTCGCTTCCTCTGCCGTGTCCATCGGTGCCCCTCCACCCACATGTACACCTTCCGCATCCCCCGTCCCACCCTTCACCAACTCTCTACACCCCATCTCCCCGCCCCTTCCCCTCCTCTCGAACACCCCCCTCTATGAAGACACCCACGATGAACTCCTCTTCCTCCACCTCCTCGCGCCCTCCATCGCCCCCATCGTCCGTACCATGGCGGGCATTCCAGTTCTTCTTTTCTCGGGCACCCCCACCATCTTCGAACCCACCACGTATGAGGAGGCTATTGCCTGCCTCAACGCACCGCTCTGGATTGAAGCCATGGTCAAGGAGAGCATCGCTTTCATCCACAACCGCTCCTTCATCGACGTCCCTCGCCCTGCCAAGACCAATGTCGTCAAGGGCAAATGGCTCTTCCGTGTCAAGCTTCTCTCTGGTGAAGACCCTGTCTACAAAGCTCGCTATGTGGCGAAGGGCTTCACGCAGAAGCACGGCTTTGACTTCTTCGAAACATACTCACCCACTGCTACCCCACCGGTCGTTCGGGTGTTCCTCGACTTCGTCGGCAGACGAGGCATGCTGCTGCACTCCATGGATGTCACTACCGCCTTCCTCCAAGGCGACCTACACGAACTCATCGTCATGGAACGCCCCAAAGGCTTTCACGCTCCACATGACCCCTCCACCGTTTGGAAGCTGCTGCAGCCCGTCTACGGCCTCAAGCAGGCACCCCGGGAGTGGCATGCCAAGCTCTCTTCCACCCTTCGCGAGCTTGGTTTTCGCCCCTCCCGAGCTGCCTCCAGCCTCTTCCTTCAGACGGCTCCGTCCCCATTCTACATTCTCGTTTACGTCGACGACATGCTACTAGCCGCCGACACAGATGCTGAGATGCAGGAGGTCAAGGACGAACTACAGCGTCGCCTCGCCTGCAAAGACCTGGGGGAGGTCCGCAACTACCTTGGCATGGAGATCACCCGCGACCTCAAGGCTAAGACTATCTCCCTCTCTCAGTCCTTCTACATTGAGAAGGTCCTTGAGAGGTTTGGAATGTCCAAAGCCAAGCCCATGGCCACTCCGCTTGCAGTTGGGCACCAGCTCTCGCCCCCTACCACCCCCACCGACTCCTCGAACCCCTATGCAGAGCTTGTCGGGGCCCTGATGTATGCCATGGTTTGCACCCGCCCCGACCTTGCCTACCCAGTCAGTGTTCTGGCACGGTTCGTTGGTGTCGGCAGGCACACGGAGGAACACATGACAGCGGCCCGGCGTGTCCTACGCTACCTTCAGCACACGAAGCATAACACTCTCACCCTTGGTGGAGCGGACCCGCCGGTTCTCACTGGCTTCAGCGACTCGTCCTGGGCAGACTCACAATCTGACCGCCGCAGCTCACAAGGATATGGTTTCACCCTTGGGAGCGGCCTCATCAGCTGGCGCTCCAACCGCTCTTCTTCCATCGCCCTCTCCTCCTGCGAGGCAGAACTGTACGCGGTCACAATGGCAGCACAGGAAGCACGCTGGCTCAGCTATCTCCTCACAAACCTTGGCTCACCACAGCCCTGTCCCACCTTCTGGTATGACAGCGCCAGTGTCAACGGGGGTTGTGTGTTGGCCCCGTCCTCGCTTGGGCGGAACCGACATCGTGGTCGGGTGTGAGGGGAACAGCCGACCTACAGCTGTGGGCGAGTTGGTTGACGAGGAGGTTGACCTGCACGAGGACCACTGCACTGGCGCCGACTTCAGGGTGGCGCCGACTTCGGGGAGGTCGACTTGGGAGTCGACCTGCGGATGACGTCAACTTGGGGAAGCCGACTTCGGTGGTCGGCTGATGGACCGCTGGTCGACCTGGGGGTGGTCGACTGGACCTGGTGGTCGACGAAGGAGGGGCCGACGTCGACCTCGATTTAGGACGCCGAGCAGCTGGGCGCCGAGTAGAGGGGCGTCAACTTCGTGACGCCAACTTCGGGTGGCCGACGTGGGTGGTCGGCCGACGACTATGCTGGTCGACGCAGAGCTGGTCGACCAGAAGGGACGTCGACCTGGAGGAGATCAACTGATGGAGGTGGTCGTCGACTTGGGAGGTCGACGGGCACGTACCGGAGTTGCTGGTCGACGTGGTTGCCCGGTCGACCAGGTTACCTGGGTGACGAAGTGCTGCGGAGGAGTGCGATGGTCGCCCAGGCGAAGTTGGCGAGCCCGACCTTGGTGGTGGTATCCCGAGGTCGACGTGGCCGATCAGAGGCAGTCATCAGCTCGAGGTTGACGTGGTGGGTGCGCTGTGCAGGTGACGAGATACTGCACGCCAATCATCTGCGCGCACCTGCGAAGTGGGTGCATTGCTGTCCTGCGTGAGCAAAGCTGGCACGCCGTCAACCTGCGACGTTGGCACACCATCGACCTTGCCTTGCTGGAGTGCGGTCGACCAAGCCGTGCTGGAACGCGGTCGACCAAGCTGCGCTGGCAGTTGGCCGACATGAATGCTTGCTCTGATGTAGTCTTGCTATGCCAACTTCATTGTATCATTGTTCTGAACTTTTCCTAGTGAAACTCTTGCCAACTTTCCCTGTGAACTAGCAAGTAGTGTATGCACAAGGAAAACGACTAAGGACCAACGAACGCAGAGATCACACGAGCACACGTGCCTAGTCCGCAGTCTATCTCCCGTTGCAGCAGTTATCTCCGCATGGTGCGGTGAGCATGGAGGACACCGCGACGTAGTTCAGTGTAGCCGACTTAGCACATACCGATCGTGTTCGTAGACCGGCAGCCGTGCAGTCACTAGCGTGCGCGTAGGCGACGCCGAGGTGATGGACACCCTCGAAGGACGGCTGGAGGATGCGAGGAGACGCCATGAGGCCCAGGAGTATGGGGCGATACCCTGGGTAGGGATGAGCAAGGTGGCGAACACCTGTTCGGTTCGCCTCGAAGGTTTTGTTTTTTAGCTCAAATCGTTCGCCGAACAGTGTTCGATGTTCGCCCGAACACGTTCGTGTTCGGGCCGCTGCTGAAATTTGCCCGCGACGAACACGAACAGTATTCGAGGTTCGCCCGAACACGCCTCCACATGCGAACAGTGAACACCTGTTTTTTCCTAAACTGTTCGCCGAACCGAACACTGTTCGGTTCGGCAAAAGAGGGTGTTCGACAAGGGGCGAAGACGAACATGTTCGTGTTCGCCCTTTGCTCATCCCTAACCCTGGGCAGTCGTCGAAGCCGGACTCCGCACGGTGTGGGCAGCGGAGCACCCCCCTTCTCAACCTTCCTCTCCTCGACCGGTGAACAACGACGGCGGCGTCGATGTGGGCGTCAACGCCGGTGGAGGTCAGGTCGGCAGCAGTGTGGGAGGCACGTCGAGGCAACGAGGTGTGATACACGCCGGTGAAGCCGGCGGCGTTCAGGCGCGAGGGATGCAGTCGTCGGCGGCTGCAGGCTCCTCACATGGTGACGCCGGTGGGCGTCGAAGCGGATTGTCGCCGATGTCAGCGTCCCAAGTGACGGCAGGTGGGATTGCACCGAGCTACGGCTACTTCAAGTTTACGCCGGACAGGATCTCGGTCACCCC